ATGAGATCTAATATGGATGTGAATTATGCCTTTCTGTAGTCAAGTGGGAGTGGAGCAATGACGAAAGGAGGGGGAAAAGGAAAACCAGCCTATTACCCCAACAATAGGTCCATTCCCAGGCCTCTGGTTGAGATAAACATGCAGGAAAGCATACACATGCAGGTTGAGGATCTTAAAATTGAATCTTATTTTTTTTCCTTCTTTAATTCCCCCCACACACACACTTTCACCCCGACCCCCACACACACTTTCACCCCTGACCTATGGATGTTGTCATTTCCCCTTAAGAACTGGATCTCTGAATGCAGAGCCATCTCACCCCCAAGCGCTCGCAGCATGCAACCGGGACCTGGTGCACCCGAGGCATGGTTGTAGGTATGGTCCGTAGCTCCACCTGGGGCACGAACCCAGGACCTTCTGCGTGTAAAGCAGACGTGCTAACCACTAAACTATGGAGACACCCCAAAACTGAATTTTAAAAAGTCTATTTAGGCCTATACACTTCTCTAAAAGGTTTTGGGTATCCTCATGGGTACTTATACTGCAGTTTAAAGACCACTGCTCTAGAGAAACATTCTTGTCCACAAGATCTCTATAAGGGTGTTCATTGCAGCATTGTTTGTCATCTCGAAAAACCTAAAAATGACTGAAAGGTCCATCAGTGGAATGATGGATAAATTAAATATAATATAGCCACATAATGGGATGCCAATAGTGGTAAAGTAAATTAACTAGATCTACATATGCTAATACGGACAAAGCTCAAAGTCATAAGTTGAGTAAAAAAAACAAGATAAAGAATATTATTTACAATAGCATACAATTTCTATAAATTCTAAAAACTATACTTACAAAGCAATACTATTTGTATTTTTTAAATTATGGGTTCAACATATAGAAAAATATTATGGTTTTGAGATTAATACACTTTATGCATGTGGCAGTAATTCATTCATTTTTTTATTACTGATGAATAAACAGATTGTATGACAACTGTTTATTCATTCACCTGTTGATGTATAATTTGGTTGTTTCCATTTTGGAGCTATTATGATGAATAAAGTCCTATAAATATTTTTGTACCTATCTTTTCACATTCCTATGCTTTCATTTACTTTGGGTAAATACCTAGGAGTAGAATGACTGGATCATAGAGTAGGTGTGTATTTAAGTTTGTAAGAAAATGTCAGTTTTCTAAAGTGATTGTACCATTTTATATTCCTACCAGCAATGTATGAGAGTTCAAGCAATCAACTTTTTTGCCTTGAGCGCTGAATTAGCTACAAAAGAAGTTGAAAAATTATCCTTGTCTAAAAAGCTTACAATATAATTTGTGAAATTAGGCTAATCCACATTAAACAAAGAAAATTTGAATATTAAACTGTTCAAAGCTTATTTTACATGCAGAAAGAATTATGTAATCTTTAAAAACCAAGAGGCAGAGGGTCCTCTGCCCCTACCCAATTCACCATAGAAGTTCATTGGGTCAGCTACCCTTCCCTA